TAATGTGGATTCCTTAGCAGTTCACCGCCTCTTCCATTAGCAATTCAGGTTTGTTTGCTGTATTTTCTACTTCGGAAATGTTGGTCATCATAGGACACCCACTAGGAGATGACACAGAACACCATGGTTAAAAAGGTACTCACCATGCTGCTGTATTAATTCTTTGTAGCTCCAGACGTGAGGATAGGTGCCAGTCTGCTCCATGTTAAATATGATGTATGTCCAATTTGCAACATGTGAATTGAGTTAATGTTCCATCGGCAAGAAGAATTGATATGCCTTTCCATTGGGGGTCTGGGAAATATGGGGCAAATCAAGTAAACAGCTGTGGCTTGAATCATATTGATTACTACAAATGATTAGAGAGGGCTGTCATTCATAAAGCTATCAACTTTGTTAAGATGAAGGGGCCTTGAAAGGTCAGTTAGTCATTTCCAGCCAATTCTGCTTAAAAAAAAAAAAAACTAAAACAAAATAATTGCAGACTGTTACAACGTCCTGCTGGTTTTTAGAGACTTTCTGAAAGGAGATTTCACAATCTACCTCAGAAATATAGATTTTTTTTAACAACGCTCATTGTAGAAAAGGTCATTTTAATATCCAACCAGACACCCAATTTCTCTAATAAAGGGCCATATCTTTTCTTTCTGTCCCTGTTAGATAAGGCAGAAGACTCAGTGTACTAGTTCCCCTATATGGACAGTCATTGAGTACCTACTGTGGGGCCTTACCTCTTCTAGGAGCAATCCTTATGCATCCCATTAATAAGACGTAAACGCTGCCCTTTCTCTCCACAGCCCTGTTTCTCATTCCCTATTTCTCTTTGGACATTCCTCTGTGAGGGCTTTTCACTCCATACATACATCCCTCCCTGCTATCTTTGGGACTTGGAAATAACAGGTTTCTCAGTGCGGTATTTTGGTTGTTTTTTGATTTGTCTATAGAGGTAGATTATACATTGCTCCCCCCTGCCTTGGATATACTGGAGCCTTCCACACTCTGCCTAAAGTGTTAGTGACCTTTAGTAAAAGGAAGGTAAGATTAGGAAGACAGGAAAGGAAGCATAATGCGAGAGTATGCAAAGCCTTGCTTACAAAACAGAAAGGTATGGTATTGTCATATGCCCACAAAGGCAGAGTAGCACTGCTCAAGCCAGTGCTTTCATTCAGAATCCCTTTGAGCCAACAAATCAGGAATTCCATGCCTGTGAGAAGACTAATTGTTATAACCCACATGTACATATAGAAATGGAAAGAATATTCTTGAAGCAGAGAATCACACCCCAAATCTGGTTTATTTAATATTTTGCTTCTTCCGATTGAGAACAGGCAAGCAAGCAATACATAGGTCTGCACAGTGATTAGCAAGGTTCTATGGGAAACTAGAAACCATACTGCTGTGAGGAGTTTAACCCATTCAGATAATTACCAATAAAAAGTAGAGCCCAAAATGCATTTGGGGAACCACAAGTCCTATAAGTTCTAAAGCTCATGGGAAGGAAGAGTTAGCTGAACCACGTAAGACAGAGTCACCTCAGAGAGAGGGGACATAGGCTGGCACTTGGCAGGTGGGTAGATACATATGGACAGATACTGGTGGAGGCCTAGGTATTATACTGACTACTGTGCAGGGCCTTTTGCTAGCAGCACAAGTCAGTCAAGTACAGTTGAATGTAGGATGTGCAGTGATAGGCCAGGAACAAAGGCACAGGAGTGGATGTGGAGGCAGCTACAGGTCCTGCAAAGTGGCTGTGCTAATGCTGTGCAATCATGCATGCCAGCAGCTCCCCTAAAAGGAATGGCTACTTCCCCCTAGCCAAGCCAGTGCCCTCTCCATGAGTGTGCCTTTGACTACATATACTTGCATGAGGTGATTCTGCATGGCACTGTGGGAGTGTACCTGTAACACACACACACACACACACACACACACACACACACACACACACTGCTCTTTCTACTTCTAGCCAGCAGAGAAAACATGGAACTAAACCTTTGGTCCTTGTGAGCTCAGTCTTCAACTTGCACAGAAAAGAATCTCTATTAAGCTATCCAGAAATCTGTAGGGAATGCCACTCTGCTCTTGGAAATATTAGAAGCAGTTGCCAGAGGGTGAAAAATAAGACACAGCACAAGCAGGTAGATAGAGAAGAGAATACAAGAATAAAGAGAAAGAAGGAAGTACAAAGGTTCAACTTTCGAAGAACCTGAGCTGTGGGTAAGGATATCAGGTTAGAACTCTCGAGATACAAAATATGGCTTTGAGTAGTTATGCTGTCAAGGCTGAACCTGTAATACCAGGCTTCTATCACTGTCTGGGTTTTTACTGTGTGAACTCTATGCAAACTCATGACAAAGTTGGCCCTCAACAAATGTTTTTCCAGAACTGATGGAACTATTAGATCCTGAACTTTGAGACTCCTAGATTATTCTTGTTAAATAAGTGCCACTTTGTTCTTCTTTCTATAGGAATCCTGTCCTAGTAGCTGCTAGCCACAACAGAATAAACTTCATAGGGGCCAGTGCTCATCCGCAAGTTTAACTGCCTTCGGTCCCCATGCTAGATAAAGTCCCGCTAGCCAATGTTTTTAAGAATTTTTTTTTTATTTTTTATTATGTCTACATGTGTGTCTGTGTTGGTTTGTGGATGTGAGTGCAGGTTCTCAGGGGCAAGAGGTGGATATCAGATGCCCCAGAACTGGAGTTGCAGGCAGCTGGCTGTGAGCTGCCCTTACAGGTATTAGAAACAAACCTTCAGGTCCTCTGCAAGAGTATTCCTAAGCATTGAGCAGTCTCTCTGCTCCTTCCACTCACTTAAAATATTTTTCATTTAATATTTCATTCTTGTAACTTAAGCCAGATGATTCTGCAGATTTTCTTGATGGAGGAAATGTGACAGGCCATACCTAACATTAATCTAAAGGGAAAGGGTGTGGAACGGTGGCGATGATTCTGGTTACTGAAATATCAAGTACCAAAATGGGAATCTGGGAGGGGTGGGCAATTTTTCCTTGCCTCTCTGTTTTGTCTCCCCGTGCTAATGTCCTCTGATTTCCGTTTTGAGTTTAAGCATTTTACGTTGGTAACCCCACTCCCTATTCTGCCGCCCCTTGCTTCCATCCTTCAGGTTTCTGTGCTTGGGGCTCTAAGAATGTCTTTGTCTCTGCTTTACAAAGCCAGCTGAGGAGCAGCTGCAGTCAGCACATAGGCTGGCTGCTTCCCTGCACCTGCTCCTTTGCTAAGGAGATGTGTTTCCCCGGAAGTACCTTGTCAATGTTGGTGTCATCAGTCTGCAAATCCCAAGGAAGAAAAAGAGCTGATTGGTCTCAATCCAAAGTCTCTGTGCCTGGTGCCCTGGTGTGATGTATCTGCTGTGCTCAGTGTGCTCTCTGCCCTGGGTAGCCCTCTTCCCTGCAAGGAGACACGGGCATGGGAGCATAAGCAGGTTGGTGAACACCTCCTCGTTCCTCCAGAACCCAGGCAGGCATGAAGAGTCTGCAGTGGAGAAGTGGTTGGTGATAGCGGAAGGTCTGCCAGCCCTCACTGGACCATCCTGGAATTAGAACTAAGCTCTATGTCATAGCCTGTCCCATGGCACACCTTCATGATGCTCAGCTTATTAAGTATGTCTGCAGAACTTCCGACCTCTCAGCTCTGACTCCTTTGATAGCTGTCCTCCTCTTTGCACATTATTTTTCTGTGTTTGCTGCACTATGGCTGATTTGGTTCTGCTTGATCTCCTTACTCACTCTTTAATTTGGTAACACCTTATTTTATGGCCCACTAACTTTTTTGAAAATAAATTCACTCTATACTTGTGTGGCTACCTTTACCCATTTGATAAATGTAATTTAAGGGTGTGGGAAATGCATAGTAAGTGTTATGCAATTACGAGATAAATATATGATGTGTTTCTTTTATCCCCTCAGCCCAATACTGGGTGACAGAATAATTATTTTAGACCCATTAGATGTACTTGCCACAATATCTGTTGGAAAATTAATTGTGTAGTTAGTTCTTGTCACCTTCCTTTCCACACACTTTAATATGACACCTCTTTTAGGATTACCTTATTTCAGATAATTCTCCTATGTTAAGTTATAATAGCCATTATCAATCTGCTTCTGGGATGAGCCACACCCGATATGTTACTGGAAAAGAATGGGAATTCAGCTGCAGCAAATCCTGGGGGTTGGGGAAACAGCCACATCCTAAAAGTAAACTAACGTTTTTATTTTTGCTTTGCCCATGCATTCAATAGGATGGAGTAGGAGAGGTATGGGAGAAACAGCATGTGCCCTCTGAGAGAACAGTCCCCTAACAGTAAAGTGTTAGAGTCTAGCATTGACTTGGTATCAGAAAACATTTACCATGGACACAAGAGCCTTTGGCAACCAAAATATTCATGTTTCACATAAAAATTGCTCTCATTATGATTGCATATGCTAACCAATGTTACTACTGTGCTCTGACTCTGAATATTTGTATCAAAGTTAACAAATTTTTAAACCCTGTTCTTTTCTCTTTTAACTCACAGACCATGTTAGCGTCCTACCCTAGAGAGCTTTGTGCATGTACCCCAGGCCCCACATGAGCTCAGAATCCACCCTTTACTTTGTCGTTTGTGTGAGTCTGTTTTCCCTAAAATATAAAAATGCTTTTCAGGTAACTATGACTTCTTCAAATAAGTTAAGGAGCTGTTTTTCTTACTAGAAAAAAAAAAGAATGTTATGTTCTGTGCAAAACTGATCCTCTGAAAGTCTATTATATGGTAAGCTACCTTAATGCAGCTATATTTGACTAGCCTTGCTCTGATTTATACAAGGGATTTTATAAACTCGACGGTAGTGTGAATGAGAGTCTAACTTGTAGCTAGCTTCCTGTGTGGTTTCCTCTGAGCAGTAGGTTCCACACTCTTAACAGCATATCATGTCATGTCCTGGGGTGGCTCTATGCCTTGAGCCCATGTTAGCTACTTAGGACCTCTCTTGTGTCTTTCAGGCATTGAAAATGCCAGCGACATTGCTTTGTACTCGGGCTTGGGTGCAGCCGTCGTAGCTGTTGCTGTCCTGGTCATTGGCGTTACCCTCTACAGAAGGAGCCACAGCGACTACGGCGTGGACGTCATTGACTCTTCTGCATTGACAGGTGGCTTCCAGACCTTCAACTTCAAAACAGTTCGTCAAGGTCAGCGGCATAGGTCCCCCAACACCTCATCCTCAGGACCATTGGCTGCACTCACACAAGTGTCCCCATGTTCTTGACCTTGTGTGAGTAGCTCTTGGTACTGGGAGCCGCTACCAAATTGTTTCCATTCACCAAATTTGATAAAATGATCTTTTTGTTCCTCAGCAACTGTGAGGATGTATGGATCTCAATTCATTAGTGACAACATTTCAGTGAATCTTTGATATAGAGCACTCAATGACACCCCGTCTCTCAAATTATCCAACTTTATCTTTGAAGAAACATGATTTAAGTTTCTATGTTTAATTTTCCTGTCTAAAATACTGAATAATAAAACCTGAGGACACAGCCATAGACCACAACTTCATATACAGTTTTATTACATTGTTTTTTTAAATTTCTTCTATTTCAAATAAGTGAAAAGGTTTTAGAATATATCTGAGGGATCAGTTAAATGGGGAAAGAATGAAACTCCAGACTAAATTACTTTGTGACTAATCTTTTGTTGTGGGGGAAGAAACATTTTTCATGTCAATGCACAGTCATGCTCTTTTTCAAAACAGAGAGAGTCATTTAATTTTCTATTATGAACCAAACCTATTCCTGAATACGAGGTGGGGATGAGACACATTTGGTTTTACTTTTAGCCAAGAAGAAATTGTCTCTTTTCAAAGGATGACATTTTCCACCTTGACCCTCATTATCCGTATTGTCCCCTTTATTTCTAGTTATTGTACAGATATCACCTATTGTAAGTGTTGAGCAGTTTCTGTGCTTGCATCTATTGGGTAGACAGGCTGCTGAAGTAGAAACCCAAACCTGCTAAAACAAGCAACTGAGACATGACTAGGAGAGATTGGCTTTTCCCCTTGGCTTTTACTCTTGGGCACCTAAGTGTTAAGCCACTGTTGTAAAGCCAGTATTATGTACAAGTTCACCTGCTTTAAAGTCAGTTATATTAGAGTATGAAACCATTATGAGACAAAACAGTTATTCTGAGTCACCATTTCACAACTATAAAATGGGAATGTTAGCATCCTCCTCATCATGTTCTTGTGAAGATGAATTTGCCTAGAATAACACGGGGAAGCCCTTGGCATTTGGGAAGAGCTCATATTCTGAATATAGCTCTAGATGATCACGTGTTCTCTGATCATGAGATGTCAGCACGCTCTGTAGAGCACCAAGCAACAAATATGAGAGATAGGCAGTTGTCTGGCCTGAAAAAGTTTGGGGAACAGTGATTTGCATCAATTGGACACATCTCATGGAGGAATGTCTCAAGATCAGTGCATTGTTTAAAACAATCATCTTATCAGACCACCTGACCATTCTGTTTATTTGGGGGCTAAAAATCACATAAATCTCACGATAGAAGACAAAGACCTTTTTGTTAACTGCTGCTCTTCTCATATCCATTGACAATGAACCTCATTTTTATAGACTGTGATGTTGACCTCCACTATCTTCATGATGATATCTTCATGAGCAACATGTCCGGCACCCCAGGCAGGAGAACAACAAGAATGTTAAACGGAATGTCTCCCTAGTTCTCTTTCTGTAAACAAATCGTAATTAAATAGCCCCAAAGAAAAGAAACTTACAGGCTTATTTGGGTTACATTTGCAGATGACAATCCATCACAACTGGGATGCCAAGGTCAGAATCTGAAGCTGTTAGTCACATCCAGAGTCTATAGCAGAGAAAAAAGAATGCCTGTGTTCTTACTTGTGTCAGCCCACTTTCTGTCTGACACAGGTCAAGGGAACAATCCTGCTCTAGTGAGCAGGTTCTTCACACATCAGTTATCATGATCAAAACAGTTCCCCACAGACATGCTCACGGGTCAGTCTGATCTTAACTATCCTCACTGAGACTTTCTTTCTTTTCAGGTGATTCAATATTGTGCCAAGTTGGCAGTTAAATTAAAACTAACCATCCCAAGTATAGGCATGGTAGAATACTTGCTCAGCATGTATAAAGCCCTAGATTCAATGACTAGCACTGCAAATCTGATAGATAAGAAGATAGAAGAGAGGGATGGAAAGAACACAAAAACTCAGGCATACAGAAAGGATACCATGCTTAGGATAAATGAGGAAAATGGTTTTTTTCTTTAATAGAAAATATAGAGGTAACCAAAGGGGGGGGTGTGTGACTGGCCAAAATCAGGCTACAATCAAGTGAGTAGCAAACATTTTTCTTTTTAAAATTCATTTTAATTAATTAATTTTTTTTCACTTTACATCCCAATAGTAGCTCTTCCCTCCTCTCCTCCAGGTCCACCCTCCATTCCTCTTCCACCCTTCCTACACCCCCTATTCCTCAGATATGGGGGTCCTCACCACCGAGCCCTACCCCCCAACCACATACCCACTCACCCCAGCTGATTAAGTCACATCAGAACTGAGTGAGTCCTCTTCCCCTGTGGCCCAGAAAGGTGACCCTGCCAGCGGGGAGTAGTCAGAAAGCAGGCAACAGACTCCATGTCAGAGACAGCCCCTACTGCCCTTTCTAGAGGACCACATGAGGCTTGAGCTTCCCATCTGCTATATCTGTGTAAGGGGTCTATGTCCAGTCTATGCATAGTCCTTGGTTGGTGCTTCAGTCTCCACAAGCCCTTCTGGTTAGTTTTGGCTTTATTAGTGTTCTTGCAGAGTTCCTGGCACCTCCAGTTTCTTCCATCCTTCCTCTCACTTTTCTACAGGACTTTCTTTGCTTCACCCAATGTTTGGGGCTGAGTCTCAGCATCTGCTTTGATCCACTGCTGGGTGGAGCCTCTCAGAGGGCAGCTATGCTAGGCTAGTGTCTGTGAGCATTGCAGAATATCTTTAATAGTGTCAGGGGTTGGCAGCCAAAATTTTCAACTATAGACTTGTACATGTGAATATGTGTCTGTTTGTGTGTTTTCTCCACCTTTCTCTCTTCTCTGCCTCTCTGTATCTTTTTCTGTCTCTATCTCTGTTTCTCTCTCTCTCTCTCTCTCTCTCTCTCTCTCTCTCTGTGTGTGTGTGTGTGTGTGTGTGTGTGTGTGTATGTGTCTGGTGATAGGACCCAGAATTTCACATAGACTAGGCAAGTTTTCTACCATTGTGCCACACTTCTGTAAATACTTCTGTAACCAGTTATTTTCCATGTCTGTGCTGTCTAAGTTTCAGAAATAATTTTCCCTCTAAGCAAGGAGGGTCTTTTAAAACTAACCAAAGATAAAATTTCAAAAGGTGGGTGTTTGTGATCAAATAGCCAGGAGATTTAGGGATGTGAGTTTTGAAGTCTCCAAGGAAACTGTTGTTTCAAACGGTTTTCAAATGTGTTGTGTTCTGTAGTCCCACTTTTTCCTTGGGAAGAGCACAGACAAGAGCAAGGTCATCATCTATTGAACTCAGCATGGTTCTGTTAAAAAAAAAAAAAAGACTACTTGATGGTGGCTGATCTCAGCACAACAACCCTAAAATGGAAAAGGGGCATCATCAAAGAGCCATTAGAGATGCATTATCTCATCCTATTTGTTTATTTTCTCTCTGATTCTTGGTTCTTAGCACATTCCAAACAAGGGGTAGGAAAAGCCTAGGTGATAGATACCTTCTTGGCACTGTTACAAATTAGGAAAATAGAAAAATGATAGAGACTAATACAGTACAGCCTAGAACTGAAACATTTTCAAAACTACCATATTTGAAACATTTTTTGGTGAGGTCCCAAATGGAAATTGTTTAATAAGGTTTGGGTTTCAATTTGAGCTGTCGTATTGACGAACTGATATGGGTGGGAGGCTGGGGGGTGAAGGTTATTCTTTTATTTACTAATAAATGAGATTACTTCATCACGAGAAAATATCACAGCATTTTTAATATTTGTGTTGGGAAAAAAGATGATGAACCCAACAGATGACTAAAGCACCGGTTTCTCCTGTTTTCATGAATATTGTTTTGTTCATTTGTTGTAAGCCAGAAACGTCACCTTTCTGAGATGCTCCACACGTACAATCGAAGCCACTTTCTGCTGAAGCATTCCTTCCTTCATGGAGTGACATCTGTGATGTTCAAGGATATCGGTTTCTCAGACATAGAGTCATAAAGTCCCTGAACTATTTGCTCCAAAGCATATTTGCTCCCTTAGCTCCAGGAGTTGCTCGACATTCCACAAGGAATCTTCCACAGCCTCTGTGGGCTCTGGCAAGCAGCACTGGGAGTCACTATACTGTAGCTTCCCTTGCTATTTAAAAGGAACAGATGTTATCTTGCTCCAAACTGCAATGCAAAACATCTTTCTTGATTCTTTTTTTTTTTTTTTTTACCTTTTCTATGACAGTTAAAATAATCTCACAAACACTACCTGAGGTGGTTGCCCTAACCTAGTATCAGAAATGCTTGTTTTGAAAAGGAGGCATGTAAAGAGCTCTGGATGTGGAGGCCTGGGCACATGGCATATTGAAAATGACCTGGAAGGCCAGAGGTCCCCATTCCCAGGCACTGGTGTGGCTCCACCCTGTTTAGTTGGGACAGCTAATGCCACCCAGAACCCCCAATGCCCAGGCAGGCTATTCTCTTGTTAATAGAGGCAATTGCAGAAGGGGTAATTGAGGTGTCATTTAGTGTCTGAGTGACAGATCAATTTTGTCTTACCAGGAAATTCTCTACTCCTGAATCCTGCCATGCAGCCAGACCTGACAGTGAGCCGGACATACAGCGGTCCCATCTGTCTGCAGGATCCGCTGGACAAGGAGCTCATGACAGAGTCCTCACTCTTCAACCCTCTATCTGACATCAAAGTCAAAGTCCAGAGCTCATTCATGGTTTCCTTAGGAGTGCCCGAGAGAGCTGAGTACCATGGCAAGAATCACTCGGGGACTTTCCCTCATGGCAACAACCGCGGCTTTAGTACAATACATCCGAGAAACAAAACGCCATACATCCAAAATCTGTCATCACTGCCAACGAGGACAGAGCTGAGGACGACTGGTGTCTTTGGCCATTTAGGGGGGCGCTTAGTAATGCCAAATACAGGTGGGTGGTAAGTGTGTGTTTGCATATTTTCCTTGTTTGTGCAGCCCCAGCCTATCCTGACTGCAGGGACAGAAGACCATGTTTGACTCTGTTGGTAGCCATCTTTTCTGAGTATAAGTAGTATAAGTATGCTCATGGATTTAAGACCCTTTGGGATATATTACCTAGAGCATGGTAAAAATAAAAGGAACACAATTCTTTCCTACAACTGACAAGTGCCATGTTTATCCAAAGCACATTTATGCACTGAAAAATAATTTAGCACTAGGACAGTCACACTTCTCATTCTCCTGCCTATGAGCCCTCTCCATGCCAGTCACTCTTGAAAATTTGATTGGTTATTTTAAAATTATTATTTTAAAATTATTATTACCTTGGTTCTTGGCAAATAATGATGATGAATTATTTCATTGTTGATTTTTAAAATTCAAACATTAGTTCCTGGTCCAGGTTTAAAACACAGCTATGTATGTATATTCCTCTAAGTATGTGTATTTCTCCTTTGCATCTTAAGAGAAGAAATTTTCTAGATATTTGTACTGGATATTTCAGATCACTGGCATAGATCACTTTCAAAATGGCATTCTAGTTATACACTGATATCAGGGTTGCTGCCTGAGACCGGAGTAGAGGGAAATTGGTTGGTTTCTTTTCTGAATCCTAAGCCATGGGAGCTACATAGTATGGTGAGTCTCATGGTGTATCTCGATGGCTGAGAGGGTCAGGACCAATGATATGGCATGTTCTTACATAGAAACTGAGTATCAAGCCAGTGTTCAAGGAGTGGAGGTGAACAGGATTTCATCTCATAAAATGGAATCTGTGACAGGATCGGTCTCAGACTTACCTTACCTGCCCAGTACTTGAAACTGAACTCTTATTCTGATAGATGTTCTCTTCTTCTTTCCCAGATTAGCTGTGTCCTCTAACACACAGTTTTAAAATATATCTTATTTCTGAAAAAGTAGTCTTAGCTACAGCTCTAATAATGATGGTGGTCTCTAATCTTCTTTGTCAGCATTTTAGGGCACATTAGGATTCTTGTTTCCGATATGTTTGGGCATCCCATCTGAGTATTGATATATGATGTCATTCTAATTTGTGGCTCTAGAGCATTACTGACCAATAGGATGCTTATTGTAGAAGGAAATAGCCGGGCCATATTTATCGTATGTGTTTGTAAAGATGGAACGTGCCAACCTCGTCCTGCCAAAAACTAGGATGTGAAATCAAAGTCAGACGCAGCCACTGTTAGCATGCCTTTGTCTTAGCTCTTTATCTTCATTGATTAGGGAGTACATGTATAGGGTGCATATGTGTCTATGTTTGCATAAATTGAGCTAATGCCAAGACCAAATCATTCTTTGCCCTTATGGGCTTAGTTTCCATTACAGGAAACATGGAAATGAAAACCAGGATGGAAGAGAGATGTTTCTTTTACTTTGCCTCTCTCTTGAGAAACACTCATGTTGAAAACTAAAACTCTGATAGCTTATCGGTGATTCCCACCCAGTTCCACCATGAATGGGATGTTTTCAAATCTCCTGACAAGAACTGCAGGACAAGATTGAAGCAGTACATTGCAAACGAGTTTTAGGAAAAATAAGTGTGGGAAATTGAAATGTGCACCTTGTTATTTGCAGGGCATATATGCAAACTATGCCCTGAGGAACTAAAGTGTACAAAAAGCATGCCACAGAAATTAGATTGCTCTAATGCCATCTATCCCGAATTGCCAGGTGGAGCACTCCGGAAATCATTTATTATGCAAAATATGAAAGTAGAAACTCAGACAGGTGATTCTATTGTTATATCAAATGAAAAAAAGCTGTCAGAGCAAGCAGGTGGAATTGGGGAGCTGCATTTTTTTTTAAATCAGAGATAACTGGTGAATGACAACTTGCAAATGGAGACTTCTTCAAGGGATCATATGAATAAACCCTTCCAGCTGTGTTTTCACAATCTGCAACTTGCCACCAACATGCTAACGTTCCCTGCTCTACAACCCTTGTCCTTGTGATTAACTCTTATCAGCCTCCATGTGCAATGTATGTTTGGGTAGAAAGTATATATAAAGGTTAATATAAGGAATGATTGAAAGAGAGTGAAAAAATATAAAGAGCCACTGAATGAGCTTCTTGATTCAGGTTGAATTTAGAAATAGCGTGAATAATGCTTCAGTCTAAACCTAGGGAATTATGCTTACTTGAAGGAATTGGGACATGATAAGCTTCACAAATAGCCCCAGAAAATGATGCTCTATACAAGACAAAGTAACTCAGAGCCTGGTCTTATACTAAGAATTTTGAATCCTTTGCATACATTTTCATACTTGTGTTTATTCTGTGTCAGGCACTGTGTTAAGTGTCATTAATGTAAACTGGCACAGTTGCCTGATTGTCTACTGAGCTTCTACAAATAAGTCTTCATAGGGATCCTGAAGAAGAAGCAACAGAGATTCAAATTCCAAACTAAGATAAGGCAAAATATGAAACCCTTGAATATCCCAGGTTACCACATGTGTTCAGGAAGGGCTACTTACAATGGAAAACATGCCATTTGGCATTTACAGTTAAGGAACAATAGGAAATGGAGGAGACATCTGATTGGAGGCACCCAAGCATGTCAATTACAGTTATACTACTAGTGATGTGAAGGGGCAGCCTGTAAATGCATCTCCTTACTGAAAAGCTGTGAACAGGATTTTAACTTGCCCCATTCTTAGTTCTAGTGAAAGATACTGATGATTATTAGCGTGTTACTGAATAATGATGTAAACGTGAATCACAAATACCTTGGTTCACAATAAGTCTCACATCCCTGACCTGTAGCTGCTAACACAGAGAGAGAAGAACAGGTGCGCTTGTCAACAGCAACCTGCAAGCTTCATCTGCAATTATCTGTAACAATAGGAAGAAAGGTGAAAGCTGCATTATTCAAAACATAGGAGGAGGCCCAGAGATTTTATTTTGTGTGACTCTCTTACTATTTTGCTAGTTAATTTTTTATATATAAACAGAAATCACATTAAAGAGACTCCAGGCTTTTTCCAGATATCTCTCTTTGTCCAAAGTAAAGTGTTTTCCTCATAGCCATAAGTAGGAAATAGGGGACATTTCAGATGCAGTGGTGTGGCTTCATGACACAGGCATGGGTACGGTTAAGTCACTGTCATTTCTTAACTCTTCCCAACTGCTGTTTGTAAATTTAAAGTCATATCAATTGCAGAACAACCTACAATACTTCAAAACTTGTCAGATTTGTTTTATTTTTCTTAATTTCTTTGAAAAAATGCAGCAATTCACAAATTACGTTTCTTAACTCACTTTCGCATGTACCTGGTAAAACAATTTCCTTCCAGGTTCGAGGAAAGTGTCAGTTACCCATCTTCCCTGGCACCTTCTCCACAAGTGAGAACAAGCTATATAACTGTATTTTTCAATTTGGGAGAACATTAATTGATAAAGTCATATGTTCTTGGATAGTACCTGGCCTTAGGATAGCCAGTCTTTTAAGAGAACTGAATGATGCTGGCAAGATTTGAGATAAAACTGAGCACTGAATATGCTCATTTTGCACCTGATAGAGAGCAAGCTTTTCCCCTGTGGTTTTTAGAGCTCTTTTTGGTATTTATACATCAAAAATTGTCAGGGGAAAGTCTTTTGTGCAAGCATGTATAAGGTGCCCAAATAGCATGCTGCGAAATAATTGGCTATCTCCACATGACCTATTGTCTTTTTCTGTCTTAGGGGTGAGTCTACTCATACCACATGGGGCCATCCCAGAGGAGAACTCTTGGGAGATTTACATGTCAATCAACCAAGGTGAACCCAGGTAAGAGACAGAAGAGGCTAGCATATTAACCGTACCTTGACTATCCAGTGGAACTTCCGCAGAAAATCTGAATTTATAGTTCCAGTGAGACAAGGAGGTCTGAGGATGAGGCAGTGACTACAAAGGGAGTTCAGACCTGCAGTTACATCTTAAGATTATTGGAATCTAAGCAGGCAGCACCACGTGGGAAACAGTGAGCTAGCAGTCAGATGCATAAGCAGGAACTGCGCTTAAACTGCCCCACATTCCCCCCTGCAAAACAAAATTAAATTACCTTTGCAGGCGCTGTTCGGTGTGAGGCACTGTGTGCAGTCATCACATGATGAAATCATTACTCTTCAGGCTCTGCGGAAGATCTGCCCCACACAGGCTGGAAGTCAGTTTTCCCGATGATTTTCCTAAGTGGAAAAAAAAAAAAAAAAAGTCTTCTATAGCTTTCAGTTCTGACAGATTTCAGCAGCATTAAATTCAATTACACGAGCAAATACAAATCTTGTCACATATTCTTTTTAATGAAAGTAGCTGGTTATTTTCTTAGTGCAACTACACTATTTGTAGAAATATTGCTTTCTTCCACACAAGATAAAGCTAGCTTCTCTTTAGAAAGCAATTTGTCTTATAAACTGGAAACATACCTCTGGCATTTTTAGTCATCACAACTTGGTTATTTTAAAATATATTTTCTGTTGTTGTTGTATTTGTTGTTGTTGTTGTGAATATGGAATTCATGAAAGAAAAAAAAAAAACACTGGGAAGAAAAAGAATCCAAAAAACAGATGATTGAAACAGATTTTGATAGTGATTTATATGGAAGAATTTGTGGGTACCCAGTGATTCTAACTAGCAGTTCTATGGAGCTTAAGAAGAATGGAAGACAGTCTTCTGCTAGCTGGTTATAGGTAAGGCTCTCGGAGGATTTACATATAGCTGTGCTACAATGGGCACTTTAGCCCATCCTCAGTTGTGTAGAGAATGGCTCTTTCCTACACCTCCCTAAAGGTGCAACGTCTTAAGTAACTCCAGCTGGCAGATGTTGGTAACAGAGAGGTTAAGTTTGTTTTGGCATGTGGTACCAGGCACTGAACACAGGTACTCAAAAATGCTAGTCAAGTGCTGAACCAGTGAGCTATATCCCCCATGCAAAGAACAGAACACACTTTGAAGAGACGCTGCACCATCTTGGGTAAGATAGTCACTTAGATGAAACATTGGAGTTCTTGCATGAAGGATACCTCTTTTTTTATCCTTAGATTTTTTTTTTAAAGATACCTGTTTGAGGTTGAGGTTCTTGTTACCTACCTGTATGTCTTCAAATTCATAATCCTGCAAAAGTCACAGGTGATCAACCATCAGCATTCACAGAGGATTGCTTCCAGGACTTTACAAGGACACCAACATCCCAAGATGCCCACATCCCTTATATAAAGCAACACACTACGTGCATTTACCCTATGCACATTCCCCAACGTGCTTTAAATCACCTCTAGACTACTGATAATTCCTGATACTATGTTGTTCTGAGAGTAAAACTCTGCCCATGCTCAGTACAAAAGGAATATTTTTTGATCTGAAGTTGACTGTCTACAAATGTGGAACCAGATGACACCAAGTGCGTTCTGCTAAGTTAGAACGAGACAACCCTCCCTGAGTCATGGCCTCCTGCCAACTCTGACTTCCACATCTTCTCCCTTCATTGTAATGGACCTTTCAAGTCTGTAAGCAGCTTCTTTCCCTCAAACAGATCCTTCTACCTCATTATATGAGAGCCTGCCTAGGGCTACTTCCCATTTTTCCAAGACACTTAATTTACACCTTACCTCTGTCTCTGTCTCTTTCTAGAAGCTGCCCCTTCTTAAGAGGTCAGAAGAAATGTGCCAACAGGCATCAAGTAAATGGGGCCTCACATAAATGCTAAAAGAATATATCAGAAAGGAATGATTACACAGGGCAGACTGCAATTTTAGATAAGAGACACTACCTATGGACTTACAGGGTCTAATAACCTTGAAAGACAGGTTGGCCTAACGAGGTCACTCCATGAGCCACGTTGTTCTCTTTAAATTCTTTGCTAACCACCTGGACTTGTCCTCTGGTATCTAGACTATGTGCTTTTTGCTGCTGTCTAGGGAGGAAGATCCAGACAGGAGCCATTTCTCTAAGGTTTGATATCTGGGATCTTTGTATTTTTCTATTTATTGAACTGTGGATGGTAAGCGGCACACATTCTCTATGTTCCTTTCAACTTGCTGTAACCTGATGATGTGTCCTGTGTCCTGATAGAGTGGTCACTCTAGGCTGCAGGCCCTTCTACTTCCTTTGTAATCCTTACTCCCCTTTGAGTGACACCAAACTATATGCAAAATGCTAAAAATGACAAATGCCTCTCTGCTCCCTTTTTTGGTCTGTTTGTTTGTTAAGCTGGGATAAATTTTTCTGTCTAAGCCAAGAAGCTGCTTTAGATCTGTGTTCTTTAGCTTTTAATCTTCTGACTAATCAGGAAAAGGCCATTGTAGTGTCTTCCTTTGTAATATCACTTGAAAACCCATTTTCATTTTATGCCATCTGTCAGTGTAAACTTGCCTCTAAATCTAGCACATAGCAAGGGTATACTGCCCCGTTTCAATTCATCCCATATTTTTGGGGGGTGGGGCGGTCGGGGCTCAGAATTGTTGATTCCACTTCCCCACACAGAACACAGCAGGATCTTAAGAATTTCTTTGTGCTATATTTAGATTCGTGTCTACCATGCCTTTCTCCTTATCATGTATGCATTTCTATCATCCCTCTTTAAGCATCATCCCCAATGTAGCAGGGTAATGGTTCAGGACAACTCTAACATGATTAATCAGAGCTTTCTGCCCAATTTCTGAAGCTGTGTAGAAGCAATTGAGGACACAAAAAAGCCCTTCTATTTAAGGACTTTCACATGGCTCTGCTTTCATGCTTTGTGTGTTGTGGTTCATGCACATATTTGTGTTGGTTCATGTGCATGCTTGTGTAGGTTTATGGTTTCAGAGGTAGCATGTGCCAGGTGGCTGCAACAATGGCTAAGAGCTCACATATTAAACTGCAAGCCAAGGCAGACAGAGCACTGGGAATACTGGGAGGATTTTGAAGTCCAAAGCCTGCCTGCTTCTGCTTCCCCACCCCCCATGCCCGGTGATACATGGTGACATACCTTCTCCAATGAAGACACACCTCCTAATTCTTCCCCAACAATTCCATCAACTGGGGGACCAAGCATTCAAAGATAGGTGCCTATGGTGACTTTCTCATTCAAACCACAACAGCCCTTGGAAGGTTTTAGCGTTGGGACATTTCTGATTGGGGGTTTTCATGTTAGCGGTATTCACTGTGTACCATTGCAGTAAAGAGAGCCATAGAAATAAAAAGCATAGGTCCTTAATGCATTGTAAGGGCAGACTTAGAGACAAGCAGGCAGCAAAGGTAGGGGGAGAGTACTTTCTGGAGACGTCTGTCATCTGAGTGCTGTCTTAGAAGAAGAGAGAAGGATCTTAGCTATCTCTCTCTCTCTAGAGAAATTTCCTGAGGGCTGTGCATGGAAGGATATGTGTGTGAGGGGGAAGTCCTAATGAGTGGCTAGCTCTCCAGGTTTGTCCCTGGTGAGGTCACTCTGAGGTCAGAGCACTGTTTGAAATGGCTTTCTTCCAACTGTGCTGCAGCCTGGCTACAGATGGGGGGAAAGAACTTCATGTGCTTTCCCATTCACAAAACAGAACAGGAACTAGAGTGGTCCCTAGGAAGTGAATGTTATCTGTAGAGGAGCTTCCAAGGAGATTTGCTGATGAGAAGCCTCTGATTTCTGGATGGAAGCTGCACATCACCTGGCCCCCATGCTCTGTGCACATGGTGGCTCCAGCAGTAATCCTCAAAGAAGCTCAGCTCAGCTTCTAAAGTTTCAACCAGTACATTTGGGTTTAGGATTTTGATTTGTTTTGTTTTCCATTTCCTTAGATATCATTGGTGGGTGAGGGATTTCATCCTTTACCTAATAACCAAGTCCTTTTATAAAATTTAAATTCGTAAATCCAAATAAAAGAATTCCATGTCATGCCCCTTTCGGCCATCCTACAGTAAGAACATTGCAAGTTACCCTGGCCCCTCCTCCTTGCCCAGCCCTCTCTGAAGCTTGTTCCACTCATGGCTAGAGAGTAGAGAACTGGACCAGAAAATTATTATGGGGAGCTTTCTTCTGAAAAGCAATAAAATGAAATCAAAGGCAAACATCCATTTCTTTTTCCAATTATACTGTCATGTGGATATCCCAGACCAAATGCTTAGACCAGCATCGGAAATGTAAGTGATCTTGCTGACGGCTTTACAAAGGGACACATATTTTGACATTTAGGCTCAGCACAGACGGGACATTTCAACCATTTTGTTTTCCAGGGTGTTTTTTTTTTTCTTTGCATTTGTTTGTTTATTTTATGTCAAATGATGTAGTCTACCTGATATGGTACAAAGATTGGGAAGGTAGAAAACTAGGTCATATGAAACAACTTTTAGAAAGATACATAGAGAGTGGGTGTTAGTTTTATATAGCAGAGTGTGAAATAACATCAAGTGCTAGGAAGGCAGAAGGAGCTCTGGAAGATGGACTTTCTTTCCCAAGATGAGCTTCTATCATTCTGTCAACAGCCTTATATGGGTTTGATTTCACAGTAGCCACACACACATACCAATACACACACACACACACTCATGTGCTTGCAGGCACACACATAACTACATTTATAAATACATGGATATGCCTCCTCCTAGATCATGTTTTACAAAGCATGTACTGAAAAATGTCTTTAGCCTTCTTTGGCATGACCTTAATTTTATAAGGGTAAAAAGAAAATATGAACGTATTTTATCAATGAGATTAAAAGAGAGACCAGCTGGCCTTTTACAGAAATGGAGGTTTATGACATGATATGTTTGTAGTAAAATATGTTTGTGTCCAATATTTGAAGCCCTTCCCTTAGAAGAGCCTC